ACATCTTTATCACGTAGGACCTGAGCTTGTAAAAATATAAGCAAAATATAAAGAGCTTCACAGCTCAAACTAACATCTTTAAGAGAGCTTTTCAGTTTAGACAGAAAGTCCCCTACTGCAAATATGGTTGGTATATCAAAAACTGCACTTCTCCAGACAGTGCCGATTGAAAATATTTCATCAAAGACAAAAGAGAAGTTTTCATGTTTAAATGGACCTTTGTCTATTTTATAAATGCCAGCATACCAATCAAAACAACTATACCATGTTAAATGATAATTTACGCCTGGCAGATCACCCGTTTCATGAAAGGGTGATTATCTCTTGATTCCCTGTGAGACAGACAGAACAAACTCTCAATTTATCAAGTGGCAGCTGCATTCATCACACTGTGTTCATAGAGACCAGTCAACAAACTCTGAAGCCAAACTATATGATTTATAATGGCAGAGGACATGAATATAATGTTTTTCTTAATATATTGTACTTATTTGGTGGACACAAATAAAGAGATCCTTTTTGTGGTGAGAAACTTTGACAGAAATTGACAGAAGTGTTGCCTCTTACATTGCCGCAAGAAATACACATTTTGTCAAACTTTGATTTCTACTCAAGTTCCATCAATAAAATGTCATGAGGTAGTTAAAATAGTTTAAGAGAGTTAGATGAGAGGACTGATACCACTCTCAGGTCTGTGAGTTAAGTATGAAGCTATCACTAGCAGCATCTTTATGCTAAGCTAAACTAACCAGCTGCTGGACGTAGCTTCAAACTCTTACCTGTAGGCTACATAAACACACATAAACATAAACACCAATCTTCTCATCTAACTCTTTGCCAAAATAATATGTGATAAAATGTATTTTCCTTTAAGACTTTGGTGTATATTAACAGAATGAAATCATGCAATCGCAAAACTGAGTCAGCAACAGAGCAACTTGAGCTGCCTGTTTGTTTGATTAGTCACTGCCATGCCACACAAACAAACCAACCCTGAATGAAGCCCAGAATTTATTGGACCACAAGAATAAACAAGCTGTCCCACTAAATATTATCCTGCCTAAATAGCAAGTGGATGATTTTTTCCTTTCTTTGCAAATGTTCTCTCAGTTAGCAGCAGGTTTGCCAAACAAGCTGGCAGCTGGAGGATCCTCAGACGGTGAGTCAGTGTGACCATTTCTTCAACTCCCAACATGTCCAGTTTCTACACAGCCAGCTTCATGCCACCCAGCAGGGTGTTAATAGATAACTAACAAAATCGCACCATGATGGTAACAAGCTCTGATGTTGAGACACAGTTCCAGCAACGAATGAGCAGCACACTCAGTACCAATAATAAACCTAAAGTTGACATCACTGTCATAAGTATTTCAGAGTGCAAAAAGACCACAGGCTGTATTCAGTAACCATTGTTGGTTTGCTTTTTTTTTTTTAAAAACCCACTATGAACTGTGAACCACTTCAAGCAATTATCTCCCTCAGCAGAGCTATCTGTAGCTTGGAGCAACAACAAACAAAGACACACCTAGTGTCTCACATAATTCTCATCAGCATTCAACCAAACAGACAGCGCTTTAGGGTCATTAGAAAGATCATTATATCACACAAGACATACAGTAGTTCTATTTTCAAATAAGCAATGACAAGAGTGGTTTGTGACCACCAAACTGCTGTTACCGTACTGCAAGCTGTGTATTATAAAGCTTATAAAAGAATATAAAATGATATTGCTTAATAATTTGACATAAAAAGTTGTGTGATCACGTGCTACTGTAATGGTGGGGGAAAACATAGGCACGTTGACACTTAGGTCTGCACTACAGTCCTGTGAGAAATGTATGCTGATCAAATTACATTTAGGTTTTTATTAGGTCTACTGAAAGATTAAACTTGTTTGCATTTGGTCTGGTGGAAAGAAACCAGCAGAGACTAGCAGCGAACAACAAAAAAGAAACCTGAACCCAGAGGTGTAAAACTTATACTTCCTTTTCAGTATCACCTTGAGTATGTGTGTGTGCATGTGTGGTTGACATGGGTAGATATTAAATGTGTACATGTGGAGGGAAAACTGAAAAAATGTCCATGAGCAGTAGCCTGCATTCATTTCCCTGATCGGAGTCATTTGCAGCCTAGAGGAAAAACAAGGAAAAACAAATGAAGTCTTGTATAATTTTCATTACATCAGCACAGGGCCTCCTTCATTTTGTACATGTGTCTGTGTGCCGGTCTTAGCATGTGGGTTTATCGGTTTCAGTGTGGCTATGAGTTAGAAAATGGTTACATTTAGGAAATGATTACCATCTTGTGAGCTCCATGTAAAGCCCAATCATAGCAAAATGGTTCAAACAAAATATAAGTCACATATGACTTATCTGCAACACACTGTAGGAAAAATACTATTACTAAGGGTCCAGTTTGGCAAAAAATGAGAGTGGGGTAAAACTGTGCTGCACTCCAAGAACAATGACTCAGAAATTCATTGCAGAGGGGGATTAAGGGAAAACAGCCAACAGAACAGGCAACCCGCTGTCCCTCAAGTCAAAGTACGGTACAGCAAAAAAGTCAACACAAGACCAATTTAATAAAATTGAGCTGTGCTGAAGACATCAGAGTCCAGACTGGGTGCACTCATGTCTTTACATTTACTGTAATTTAAGTAGTCAGGCTGTTTTTAAAGCTTTGTCCTGTATCATCACCACCTCTCTCTCTACCGCTATCAGTGTCTCATCCTCGCCTTCTCTGTTAAGCCAGCTAGTTAACTTACGATTGCTGGACTTTTAAGAGCATCCAGTATCATTTGTAATAATTGAGAGCTGCAGGTTCGGTTCATCCTGATGTGTGGAAGAATGGGTTTATGCTGAACTTCGAGAGTAAATGTCAAACAGCTGCTGATGGTTGAAGCCGAGAGCGGCGCTTCACAAGCTACCTATAAAACTGGCAAACAGGAGGAGGCAGAGGTGCAGTCCAACAAGCACATGGTGGTTAGCTCCAAAACAGAGTCCAAGCTCCTCTGCCAGTCTCTGCTCAGTGTAGGAACCCTCTCTATTGACATGCTAATGCAGGATCTCTCGGCTAAACAGTCTGAATAAAGTGAACACCATCTCCCAAGGTCCTTCAGAGACTTCAGCTTTGACAGCCACCCTCGAAGGTTGTCAAGAATTCATTAATAGCCCTGAGTTAAGACTTTAGTAGAGTGGTTTATCACACTGTAACAGAGAAATTAAATTCTATATCATGATGTCCTTTCACACCTGCATATACAGCACCTACGCAAACCCAATATGTAGCTATTGTGAAGGTACTGGTAAAGCTTCTTCTTTGTTGTTAAACCAAATGATTTTTTTTAATAAGCCCTCATACATAATAAAGCAACCCTGCGATGTTGTTATGAACCAATCAATGACATGCCAATGATTTAGACCCTTCTGCTATGTACACATTAACCATAAAGCAATAACTCAGAGTAAGACAGGTGCAATTTCTAATCTGAATTTCATTATGGGTCACTCCCTGCCTGCTTCAGCTCGTAACATAGCCATTGTTGTGAGGTGGTGGCTCGTCAGGAACAGAGCCCTCCATGTCTGCAGGCAATGCAACATGCCAGCTGTGAATGAGAAACAAGCAGTGTTCTCCATAAATTAACATCCTCCCTCCTCGCGCAGTTCAAGGACCCAGTCTAATGCATAAGAGGAACAGACAGGGCCTGGCTCTATGAAACAAGAGCATTTCTCCCAAGATACAACAGGATCTCAGCTAAATAACTGATACCTGAATTAACTACCCCACCCCACCCCCCTCCCCAAGAAAAATGGCCTATAATAAAGTGGACAATCTCAATGAACAGCACATGACAAAAGACAAAACTGAGGTTATAGAGGCACAGAAAGTGTGGAAGGTGAGAATCAGTCAGGACAGCAGCTGATACACTGTCCACACAAAGAAAAATGTGTCTGTAGATCAATCCTACAACTGCTCACACTCTGAGCATCCAAAGATCTGGACTGGTACATGACTCTGGGGATGATCAGCTGAAGCCCCTGAGGCGTAACATTAGTGAAACCGAACCCCACTTAGGGAAATGTCTGCTCATAACCAGTCTACTCTGTCGGTTCATTTTTACACTGCATGGCAGTTTAAGTATCTTATATTTGTTTATTTGAGTGGCCTGCATGGACTTGGACTTTGGACTCTCTGTTTTCATATGCAGACAACTGGCATAATTGGGTAAAGCAGGATTAAGTGGTACCAATACACTCAAGTTGAACCAGTGTCCAATGCGACACAGAGATAAAAATCAGTGAAAAATATAGTGTCATTGTTCACTAATAAGACTTTTTTTGACCAAATCATATGGCTACCATATGGTCCTATATAATCTACCCTCAGATTTGAGATAATTAGGATTCTGAAATAGTCAGTCACATCACATAAAACACTGAATATGTGTAAAACGAATATGCACTTGATGTACGCCCAGGTAATGTGCATTAAATATATTCCCAAATATGTGATCAGCAGCTCAAACCACAGTGAGGCAAATACAGGCCCCAAAATGTCCAAGAATGAGGTGCGATAACACAGCCAGCCCTCCATCCATCCTGCACTGCTTTCAACACAGGGATCATTTAAGAAAGCTGCAGATCCAGCATCCAAACCACATCATGACAAATCTAAATTCAATGCACAGAAATCCATCTGGCTGTTGTTGAATTAGTGACAGAAACCCTTTGCACACGAGGGAGAGAGAGAGAGAATAATGAAAGGGGGCTCGCTCCTCGCACTGTGATGCTCTTGTCATTGCATTGACGGTCACGGTTTACATCTGTCAATGCTCTCTGTTTTAGCACTAGGCTACATAATAGATGCATTATAAACCGTGAAGAAAAAGCAAAAGCAGAAACATGCAGAAGGCTGATAAACAGGCTCTTGGTCAGACAGAGTCGACAGTCTGCAGAGACAATGCACGCAGAGCGGACACAGACACCGGAATCACACCGCACCTTTCACTTGGGTCTCATAATCCGCTATAATCTCCTTATCCTTCTTGAATTTCGTAGATGTCATCGTTCCTCGGGTTTTAGGGTGAGACCCTATGACTCTCTTTTGGGTCCTGGATGATGATCCCCTACTTGTAACGCTGCAGCGCTTTTCTCCGTTTTTCTTTTCTCTCTTCTCTAGTGGCCGTGCATCGAGGAGAACAACAGCTTAAAGTCCGACAGTTCAAACCACCTTATCCTAGAAATCGGTGCAGAAAATTACACCGATGTTGCATTCTTGTCTTTTTTTCTGCTGTTTTTCTTTTTTAAACTCTGGCAGAACAGAGGTTTCGAGTCCACCTCACGGTACCAGTCGACTCAAAGGCTTCAGCGGGGGGGAAAAAACCCAGAAAGAGGCAAGCGAGCTCCAAACTATAATAATAACAACATGATGAACGGAGCGGAGCGACGCACGAAGGTTTCAGGCAGCCAAGTCCTTTTGCCTTCTGTGTCCAAAATGAACAGACATGCGTACGAGTAAGCGAGGCAAGCAGACGCCGTTCGTACTCTGACAAATTGCGCTGCAGGGAAACAGGAATTTAAAAGATCGTCACGTGAGCCTCCTCATATTGTCACCCCCCCCCCCCCTCCCCCCTCTCTTACACACACACACACACACACACACACACACACAGGAATGCAATTTATGTAATTGAAATGTATTATGCCTCTGTTCATACACTGGCAGCACAATCATATTCTACCTGTAGGTCTGCTGCTCACATTTTGATAACAATCACATTCATTTTTCCAGAAGAAAAAATAGACCACCCCCCGACCCTTTAGACTCCATTGCCATGGAAACCTCACACTTTTATCTCTGCATTACTGCTGTTCAGGAGATGTGGCACATGTCAGCAGAGGTTTGCGATAGATCCTCTCTGACATGCTGCTGCATCACACGCCTGGAGCAGAGACGTTGTGAAGTAACAGGCCTGGTGGTGAAATGGCTCAGGCATGACACATAAGCACCAACATTGCCATCGATGCTCTGATGTGATCATGAATTCACACCAACCATTATCTTTTAAAAGGAAAATTTGTGTTGCACCTCCCTCTTTTGTTGCAAACAGGTGTATCTCGTGACCTTGTCGCACCCACCTCTTCTTCTCTGCTGGCAGAGCTGATGCTGACAATTAAAGATGAATATCAACAGTGACAGAAGAGTCTTTAGCAGTGTAAGCAGATGAAAGATAAGGAACAGCTACAGAGGCAAGAATAAATTAAACAATAAAAAATCTATCATCTTACAAACTGTTCCAACATACTGACATGTAGAATATGGCTGACCAGAACCAAGAACACATGCATAATAATCCATGATCACAATGTGCTCAAAATAGTGTAGGAAAGGAATGCAAAACTTCTCAAGTTTGGTTCAAATTAATTCAGTTTTAATCAATTATGTTAATATATCTGTAACTATGTGATGGGATTCACATGTTTTCTCTATATTTTCACATATAGAGTTCATGTCATGAAGAAAAGCAGGTTTTCAAAGCATTGTGGTGACAGCGACTGAGAGTGTTTCCTGACAAAATCATCTGAGCACTTCACTGTGTTTTTGACAGTCCATGGTACTCGTTTTGTCGTCTGTCGCCTTTGCTATTCTCAGCTCAGGAGGGAACGGGCTGTTGATTCACTCAAACCTGCAAATTTTGACACTGTAGATGCCCTCTGCAATTCATTTCCATCTGCAGCACACAGACTTGGATGTGTATTTCAAGCTGACAGGTAGGAGCACACTTTTGACATATTTTAGATCTACATTTTGCCACATTTGAAAAAAACAGATCAAAAAGATTTTTCATGAACAATTGAAACAAACAACTGCACATCATACACTCAAATCATACACACAAAATGGTTATAGGTTATCATTAATTGCACATTACTGTGAGCTGCGAGCCTTGTGTTAGTCTGCAGCCAGCAGCAAAACTCAACTCAACTCAAAAGACAATGTAATATGTAATAATATATAATATGATATATGGAGATATTACATTGCACAAATGAGGTGGAGCAATTAGCGAGTCACCCTTAGAGAGTCTAATTAAACAATTACAGAGATGAGGAAGACTGCTACACCCCATGATTCACTCCTCCTCCTGTCCTCCTGCTTTCCCACCAGAAACAACTTAAGGAATCAGGTTTGAATTCTTTGCTGGCCTTGTGATGTCCAAACATATTTTCTGGCCATTGAACACAGCATGCACAGCCCTCTTCACAGGAGTAAAAGCCCCTGAGGAATTTAAAAAGGCCTGTGGCAGTGCGTGTATCTATGTCTGTGTATGTGTTCAGTGAATCTGATATGAGATATGAGAGAGAGACAGAGAAAGGGTCTTCCTGTGTTATATGTCTCACTGCATCACGCTGTCTCTTGTGTCTTTGCAGCTCCGGTGGTGAGTCTTAGTTGTTTGTCAGGTCTCATGGATCACCTACGCATCCACAGAGTGAAGCCATGAGTGAGCAGGCACTTCACCAGCTGAGACAGGGAGGCCTGCCAGAATGACAGCAGGGTGGATTCTGCTTTTGTATGTGTTTACCACAACGAAAGTCAGCAGAGGTAACCTTTCTGTAGTCCCTTCATACCTCCCTCCATCCATCTGTTCCTCAATCCTATACTTCTCTCATCAGGTGTCTTGGGGGGTGGGGGAAGCCTGGGAAACTATGACTTCACTGTTTTTATGGCACAAAGATCCATTGTGAGATCCTTTTACTGGTCCTTTCTATAGAACAAGAGTGGGAACTGCTCTAGACTCCATAGCCAACATGTGAAAATGCCACCCTGGGATACAGTCTGGGAATGGATGCTGTAATAGTATTTAACAAAGAACAATTTTTGACTAAAAAGTGATGAGGCACGCAAATAGTTTTGGGGGGCTACAAAATCTCTCAGTGAATCTGAAAATGCATAGAAACAATTGTTTTTTCCTGCACAGCAACAAATGGAACAAAGATTGTCATTGGAAGGTAATACAGTATTTATAATTACAATGAATTTATCAGATTGAATTTATCCAACATTTAATTGCTTAATTGATTTTTTAAGATAATTTCTTTGACATTGATTGGGAAATTAGACCATGAAAAGTGACAGAAAACTTAAGGATGCAATAGAGGTTGCCGGGGGAAATCTTCACTCGGTCACCAGGACATCTGTATATCGCCTCCTAATACTTACTTATGTGTCCTGAATGTCAAATCAATGTGACGATGAGCAGAAAAGCCTTTAAGGAAGCTTGTTCCTAACATTTTCCTTCTTCTTCATCCAGAGGAAGCTTTGTATGGACATGTGTAGATCTCATATCAGTCATAACTGCACCTCTTTTAATAAATTTTTTTTTGCCCTGAGGCCATCTTCCAATAGGCAGCTTGTGATGTAACAGGTTTCCATGTTTTAAATCAACAGGACTGCCAGATCATGCAGCACTGATCCTTAAGTAAATAATCAGCAGTAAATGTTGCAGTGGAGAAAACATGGTGTTATTCTAATGTTTTGTTGAGTCAGGATCAACAGCAATTGGCTTTTATGTCAACTCCACAACAAAATTTGGTGTCATTTGGCCTCCAGAGGCCGAGCTATCACACGCTATCAGAGCAGGGGCATCCCCCTCTAACTTCAAGAAGTTCTTGAAAACTCATCTCTTCTGAGAACACTTCCTCTTATAACACCTCGAACTCCTAACCTCTAACATGCACTTCCTGTGCTCTTCTTCTATCCCCTACAATTATCTTGTATTGATTGAACTTTTCTGTTAACTCTTACTTCTTTCCCTGGGTATTTACCCCATTGATGTGATATGTGCTACTAGCTCTTACTAGTATGTATTGCTCTTACTAGTAATTATTGCTCTTACTAGTATTTATTGCTGCTCTTACTAGTATGTATTGTCAGTTGTAGATCTCGTGCTGTATTTGATGCTCTGTTGATGCTTGTACGTTGTTTCTCAAATGTAAGTCACTTTGGATAAAAGCATCTGCCAAATGAGTAAATGTAAATGTAATTTGGAATCAACATATTCTATATCTTTAACAAATTGTAAGACACTTTTGTTGCAGTAATATTAATAATGTTTGATGTGGATTTTTGAAGCATGAAATAAAAAGTTTACACCCCTCTGATTCAATCATTCCCAGATTCAGATTATATTTTTTTATTATGCTTACAATGTTTCATGTGACATGATTCAAGCTTAATCTGTCAGTAAGGAATCCACAAAAAATGTCTTGTATTTACAATACAAACTCTCTGCAGAATACATCCCATACATTCATGTATATTTTAGTGAAAGGGGTAGATTTTGATCAGCAAATACACATCCCATTCCTATTAAGGTATTTAAGCCCACCTGAACATACATTCAATCAGTTGCAGGCAGTGCTATCTCGCAGTACAGTGCAGTATAAAATAATGGCTATGGGCCCCCGACACTGTCTTGCAGCGTCTGTCTTTGGCCCATAATCCAAATACTTGCCACAATACTGTACAATTACAGAAATAAAAATGATTAAATAATGTAAACAGAAATATAAAATATCACGTTTCTTCCATTTCTGATATAATTTAGAAATTACAGGTTAATTTTAAATGTAACAAACTAGGTGTGTAGTGTTACCAAGAAATCATCTGCCTTGCTGCTGTCAGCAGTCATGTTCCACATCCACCCTGAAGCATTGTGCTGATCAGCTGTCTCCAGTGTTCACAGACATTTTTAACACCTCAGTGGAGACATGCCATGTGCCAGCCTGCTTCAAAGTCTCCACCATCATCCCTGTCCCCAAAAAACCAAGGACCACAAGATTAAACGACTATAGACCCGTCGCCCTGACATCTGTGGTTATGAAGTCCTTTGAGCGCCTTGTGTTGTCCCACCTGAAATCCATCACAGACCCACTCCTGGACCACCTGCAGTTCGCCTACAGAGCCAACAGGTCTGTAGATGATGCAGTAAACATGGCCCTTCACTACATCCTCCAGCGCCTGGACTCCCCAGGAACCTACGCCAGGATCCTGTTTGTGGACTTCAGCTCTGCTTTTAACACCATCATCCCGGCCTTGCCGCAGGACAAGCTCTCTCAGCTGAATGTGCCTGACTCCACCTGCAGGTGGATCACTGACTTCCTGACAGACCGGAAGCAGCATGTTAAGCTGGGAAAACATGTCTCTGACTCCAGGACCATCAGCACCGGTTCCCCTCAGGGCTACGTTCTTTCCCCCCTGCTCTTCTCCCTGTACACCAACAGCTGCACCTCCAGTCACCAGTCTGTCAAGCTCCTGAAGTTTGCGGATGACACCACCCTCATTGGGCTCATCTCTGGTGGGGACGAGTCCGCCTACAGGTGGGAGATCGACCATCTGGTGACCTGGTGCAGCCAGAACAGGCTGGAGCTCAACGCTCTGAAGACAGTGGAGATGGTCGTGGACTTCAGAAAGCACAGCCCCACCCTCCCCCATCATCCTGTGTGACTCCTCAGTCACCACTGTGGACTCCTTCCGCTTCCCGGGCACCATCATCTCCCAGGACC